AAAAGAACAAACAGATCTGTGTTGGAAGAAGTGCAGCCAGAGTGCTCCTTGGAGGCCAAGATGGCCAAACTTCGTCTCTCATACTTTGGACATGTTGTCAGAAGGGCCCATTCACTGGAGAAGGATATCATGTTTGGTAAGGTGGAGGGTCCGAGAAAAAGAGGAAGACCCCCAACGAGATGGATTGGCCAAGTAGCAGCATTGATGGACTCAAGTGTGGCAACAATAGTGAGGTTGGCCCAGGATTGGGCAGTGTTTCGTTCTGCTGTGCATAAGTTGCTATGAGTCTGTACCAACTCGATGGCACCTAACAACAGTCCACAAAGGCAATGTTCTACAACTTACTTTGGTGAGTAGTGACTGGGATCTTAACAACTCATGATTGGCCATCTAAGCTGCAATTATTGGTCTCTCCATGTATAGGAGAAAGAAGAGTGATGAAAATGGACAAAGCTTGAAATCAATTAGTCCAACTGACTAATGCAATATGTGAACATCAGTCTCTAAGACTCTGAGAACAGACGAACTAGATGGTGCCCAGCTACCAGTACCATATGTGTTGTAACTAATAAGACAGCTTGGTTTTACAGTAACATAGTAAACAATTAAACGAAAGAATAATAAACAGTAACATTATCAAAGATAATGTTAAACAGGGTGCAGTCTTGGAGAAGTTTTGGTGTTTTTTTTTTTTAACTTTTTATTGTGAATTGAGTGAAGGTTTATAGACAAGAACATCAGTTTTACATCCATAAATGATTGTAATCCCCTCCATGCAACAAGTTATTCTGCTTTCTCCATGTGGTTCCTATTTCCATCCAACTAAATTCAATTAAATTCCTGTGTATTCTATCTGGTAAGGTCCATCTTCTTTCGATGCATTCTGCCTCATTTAATATTTTGCTCATGCTGCTGTGTGTCTTTGAGTCCATTAAGCAGCTGGTAGGTTTGAACTGCTGACAGTACAGTTACCAGTCTAGTGCTTATCCTAGAGCACCACATCTGGGCTCATTTTTCCAATATTGCAATCTGTGGCTTTTATTTTTTCTTTGGTTCTTTCAGCTTGAGAAATGCAGAGCATGTGCTTCCCTTTTAGTTTTCTGACAACAGGTCTTTCTACATTTCATTATAATACTTGACTTAGTCTTCTCCAGCTACCCTTTGAAAATTTCTGTTCAACTTTTACTGCATTTCTGCCTTTCACTTTAGCTTCTGACATCCATTTTGGTCTTTTCTTTCTTTCCTATCTTTTAAATGACCATTTGCTTTTCTGTGTTCTTGATGTCATTCCATATCCTTCATGTGGGATATACTCTGACTCTTGTGGACGTGTTTAAATTTCTTCAGCTTTAACCTGAACTTGCATATGAACAATTGATGGTCTGTTCAATAGATCCTGGCCTTGTTTTGGCTGATGATATTGAGCTTTTCCATTGTCTCTTCCCACAGATGTAGTCAACTTTGTTCTTGTGTATTCTTGTGTATGTTTTTGAAAAATGATATTGGCAATAATGACCTTGAAAAATTTTATCATGTAATCTCCATTATTATTTCTATAACCAAGGTCATTGTTTTGCAACTACTGATCCTCCTTCTTCACTTTCACCTTTCACATTCAATCACCAGTAATTATAAACTCATCTTGATTGCATGGTCAATTACAGAATGAAGAAGTTGGAAGAATTCTTCAATTGCATCATCACTGCCTTTAATGGTTGGTGAGTTAATTTCAATAATAGTGGTATAACTGGTCTTCCTTGTAGACATATGGATATTATTTTGCCACAGACAGCATTTTATTTCAAGAAAGATCTTGAAATGTTCTTTTTGATGATGAATGCAATGTTATTCCTATTTAATTTTTCTATCCCTGCATAGTATCCCATATGATTGTAAGGTTCAAATTGGCCAATGCGAGCCCACTTCAGGTCACTAATGCCTAAGGTATAGATCTTTATATGTTCCATTTCATGTTTGATGACTTCCTAATTTCCTAGTTTTATACTTGGACATTCCACGTTCGGATGGTTGCAATGGTTTCTTCTCATTTTAACTTATTTCCTATCAGCAGATGAAGGTCCTGAAAGCTTTGCTCCATTCAAATCATTAAAGTCAACTCTACTTTGAGGAGGCAGAGCTTTCCCAGCCAGGCTTTAAGTACCTTCCAACATGAGGGGCTCATCTCTTGGCACTATATTAGACAATGTTTTGCTGCTATTCATATGCTTTTCAGTGGCTAACTATTCATTAATGGTATACTTCTTCTTCCATCTATTTCTTAGTCTGGAAGCTCTGTTGAAAGCTATTCACCATGAATGACACTTGTTTGGTTGTTGTTAAGTGCTGTTGACTCAGTTCCAACTCATTTCCACCCTGTGTAGTGTTTCCAAGGAGCAGCTGGTAAGCTTGAACTGCTGACCTTGTGGCTCAAACTGACCTTGTCTTAACCTGCAACGCCACACTAGGACCATGAGTGACCCTGGTATTTAAAATACTAGATGCATAGCTCCCAGCATTACAGTAACACACACGCCACTAAAGTATGAGAAACTGACAAATGAATGGCCGACAATGAAATATTGATTGATTGATTGATTGATTGATTACATGCTGTGGAGTCAGTTCTGAATCATAGTGACCCTGTTTCCGAGGCTATAAATCTTTACAGGAGTAGAATGGCTTTCCTTTCTCCTGTGGAACAGCTGGTAGTTCCAACCTGCTGACCTTGAGATCAGCAGCCCAACTCATAACCACTACACTATTAGAGCTCCTTAATGAACTATTACTCAGTCATAAAGAGAAATAAAGTTCTGATGCATGGATGAACCTTGAAAACATTGTATTCAGAAAAACACATCTATTTTAAAAGGGAAAATTCTGTATGAACTCACTTATAAAATATAAGCAAATATATAGAAACCGAGGTTTATTAATGGTTACGGGGGGGCGGGCAGAGGGAAAGTTTTATGTTAATGGTGGTGGAATAATTTGGAAAAGGACAGTAAGAATGATATCACAACTTGAAGTAATCAATTTCACTGAACTGTACATGTACAAATTGTTGAAACGGAAAATGTTTTGTGGTATCTATTTTCACCACAATAAGAAAAACTAGAACAAAACAAAACAAAGTACACAGGCTTTGGGGTCATACAACTTCATTCTATATCCTGGAGTATTTATTTTACCTTGGTGTAGTTTCTTCCCCTTTCTGAACCTCAGTTTCCTTACCTGTTTTTGGAGCTAGTGGCCCCAACTCAAGATAATTGACTCCAGCTTTGGTAACAAAACCCATCAAAAATCCAAACTTACTGCTGTCGAGTTGATTCTAACTCATAATGATCCAATAGGACACAGCTGAACTTCTCTATAGGGTTTTTGAGGCTGTAAATCTTTACAGAAGAAGACAACCTCATCATTCTTTCTCCTGCAAAGGATCTAGGTGTTTGAACTGCTGACCTTTTTTTTGGTTTGTAGTCCAGTACTTAGCTCATTATGTTACCAGATCTCCTTTGCTCACATAAAGGCATACAAAATAGCTGTTTGCTATTTTGTATGTACCCAATGCATCATGCATTGGGTACACAGTGACATTGACATATCAAGTAGCTGTGCACAACGGCTTCTGAACTACATGCTTCCTAAGATAGGAGTATAAATATATTACTTAGCAATGTGGGTTAATGCGCTAGACTGTGAAGTTGATTTGAACCGCAAGGTCAGTGGTTCAAGCTCACCAGCTGCTCTTTAGAAATCCTATACAGGGTTGCTATGGGTCGGAACAGACTCAATGGCACTTAACAACAATAATTTTTATATAGTTCTAGAGAGTTCCTCATGATATGCATCTGTAATTACTGAAAAAAGTTTTCTGCTTTCATCTTATTATTTCTGCATTTGAAAAGTGGCTTAACAAATGCAAATAATTAAATATTTCCCCCTCAGAGTTATGTGGATTTTCAGCTAGTTCCCTTACCTTACGGATTTCTCCCTGTTGGACAGTTTTTATGATATTAATCCATTCTTCCATATCTTTCCGGTTGGGCGCAGCCAGGGTGACTTTTTGCTGTGACGTGATTACCTAAATAAAAAGTTCCATCATTAGCTGATTCCAATTCCACAACTTTGCCCTCAGACAGAACCTGTGAGCTCCCCCAAGGAACTAGATAGATCCATGTAGCACAAGCCAAGTCATGTTTTAAAGACAAACTATCATTCCTCAAGACACTTGCAGCTCTTCTGATACCCCCCAAAACTAGTAATAATTGACACTTTACATTTGCTATGTGCCAGGTACTACCCTAAACACTTTATCTTCATTACAGCCTCCTGAGATGGGTATTATTTTCCCCATTTCACAGACAGGAAACCAAGGTAAAGACATTTAAATGACTTGTCCAGGATCACCCAACATCTAAAAAACTAAGTTGTAATTGAAATGTAGCCTCTATGTGTGGTGCCTTGAATTTACTTGATACGGTTTTTCTATCCACAGTCTTCTTAATTCCCACCAAGTGATTGGATGGGATCATGCAAACAAAGTATACGGGAAGCTAAGGTTAGCATTGGGCAGTTTTCCCCCAGCTAGGTTTAAAAGGAGCCATCTCAGAAACAGGGACAGAAGATCGCAAGACCATCAAGAAGGAAGAGCATGCATGGGGCATGAGACATCAAGGGGCGACAGCAAGAGGTGACAGCGCACGTGACAGCACCAGTGGTGGAATGGAGAAATGGAGCAGTTTCAGGCTATAGACCCATGGACTGAGTAAAGCTGAGTGCCTATGGGCAGGAGACTGGCTTGAGATATATGCCCTTTGGGCACTCACAGCTGGCTAAAAGAACTTTGTAGCACTTGCTAGAGCAGGATAGAGGCCAAGGGATCACATGGCTAAGAGGCCCAAGGCAAGAGTGAGGTGTGCCTGCAGTATGGCAGACAAGAGGCATTCCTGACTGGAGGATTGCTGCATTCTGAGCTTGTCTGATCCTGGATTGCACCCTGTTCACTTCCCTAACAAACCCCATAATCATGAGTATTGTTATGAGTTCTATGTGGCCATTGCAATGAATTATTGAACCCAGATGTGAAGCAGAGAGTGCTCTGTGGTTGATGGTTGGTGTCAGAATAGGAAAAAGAAGATTGTAGGGTAGACGGATGTCTGATCTCTGTTTCATAGCAATAAGCCTTTGAGTTTGATTTTCTTTCCCCCTTGGGAAGCCAGGGGAAGTCAGACATGGCTCCTATATGGTTTTAGCACTATGGTTCCAGAATTCATGTTCTTAAACACTATGACATGCACCAATCAATTTCAAATGAGATAGCCCACAAAACTTACTTGCTTACTGCCACTCTGTGAATGGATAAACAAAAAACATTGTACATACATACAATGTAATATTATACAGCCATAAAGTAATAATGGTGAGTTCTTGAAACAATGTGGATGAATTTGGAGGACGTTATGCTGAGTGCAATAAGTCAGTCACAAAAGGACAAATATTCTATGATCTCTCTTTTATAAAAAGACAAAAATAGATGTACATACAGAAGCCAATATTCATTAGCGACTATCAGGTATGGGAGGTAGGCAGAAGAGGACTCTTTAGGTAGTAGTGGTGGTATGCCATGGAGTCAGTTCTGACTCATAGAAACCTTGTATAGGGATTTCGAAGCTGTAAATCTTTATGGGAGCAGAAAGCCTCATCTTTTTCCCATGGAACTCCTGGTTCCTTGAGGTTCACAGCCTGACTCATAACCACTATACTACTAGAAACTTGTTATATTTGATGATGGGAAAGATAACACCAAAGGTGGATGAAGTGTGCATAAATTGACCAAGGTAAATGATGTCACCAAAAAGTACACACACACACACACACACTCAATAGAAAGTTTTGTTATATGCTAGGACATATATAATTTTGCAACAACAAATATATATATGTATATATGTGTATTTGTTGTTGTTATGTGCCGTCAAGTCGGTTCTGACTCATAGTGATCCTGTATAGGGATTCCAAGGAGCAGCTAGTGAGTTTGAACCACCAATCTTACAGTTCAAACTGATCTTGCAGTCTAGTGTTTGCTGATCCTACAGTGCCACATCAGGACTCATGTATATATATAGTCCTGGTGTGGCATTGTGGATTAATGCACTGGACTACAAGGTCGGTTTGAACCACAAGGTTGGTGATTCTGATCAGGGCCATAACAGAAGGATCCCAATAGAGAAAAATGTGGAACAGAACTACAAGTCTTTAAAAGTTCAGACTTACTAGATTGGTTGATATTAGCAGACTTCTTGAAACTAAGGAGTTCCACAAACTTAGAACCAAAGTTAATCCCTGAGGTCACCATTTAGCTAAATAACAGATTGGCTCATAAATATATATAT